AAAGCTTTCGGGAAGAAATGGTGGACTGAAGATTGGTACACGAAAAGTGAAGTTGATAATTTTGGCAGAATGAAGAGCTGGTGAAGAGGTCGGCTCTTCAATATTTCCTCCCTGGATTAAGAGAGGATTTGAGATAGCCCACATGCACTCCGGATTTGCAGTCCAGCTCCTCATGAAGAGAACATAAGGCCACCATCTCTATTTTTCCTTGTTCTCTTTTCTGCACTTTCTAATTTTTCTTTCTTTTCTTACCTTTTATTTTTCATGAATTTCTATTGCTATTTTAACTTTAAATAAAATTGCTCTATAAAAAGATGTAAGGGCTAGCTACTCATGTTCTTACAATTAATCTCCTCCTTTTATCGTGGAGATGGTTTTGCAAGCACCTTTAGAAAATCCTTCCACCACAGTTCATGGGTGCAGCTTTCATTTTTCTTAGGAGTGCCAACAGAACAACTTCCTTGAGAAACATATACATTAATTCAAAAACAATTCAGACCAGAGATTTTTTTATTGGGGTTGATTGACAAAATTTTGGGGACAAAATATGGTACATTAATCTTATATTTGGTTACGGCAGTAAAATTCCTATATACTTAACATTGGAAAGATTTTACTATGCTGGCAATGGACGGGTGATTAGTGAAAGGGATGGGACTGGAAGAGATGACAAAATTAATAGTTCTCGTTAGAGAAAAGACATTGGCAAAATTTACTACTAAATGGAAGTCACTGGTGAGCTTTCTGTAAGAAGTAAAAAAAAATGACATATGGATTTGATGATTAGTAAAAACTATTGACCATTTTAAATACTATATTACGTGTAGTAATACAACAATTCATTTAGTGACTGTTTTGAGGATACAACAGTACTGGAAAAAGTGACTTGGGGGAGGGTTCAGCCTTGCACCATCATGTGATCAAAATTTGGACACTTCGTTTATTGTTTATCGTTTATCGTTTAATTTATTTGTATGCCACCCTTTTCCCTGAAGGGACTCAGGGCGGCTCACAACTCAAAAGGGAGGGGAAAATACAAACAGAGTAACAAAACATAAAACATAAAACCATACATAGTTAAAAGCACAACAATCATACCATTCGAAGTGGGGCAACGAGTCTTTAGCCCCAGGCCTGGTGTGCACATGCACAGAGTGGCCAGACAAAGGGAAGAGCTAAAG